TTTTTTAAAAATTAAATGACCTAAGTAGAAACTGAGGGTTCCAGTTATTAAAATGGGAAAGGAGGAGCCATATCATAGAAACTGCAGCCATCTTAAAAATACAGAGGAAATGCTTCTGACCTTCTCTTCACCTCTCACTTAATGCCTCTGCCCAGGGAAGATGTGTCTGATTGATGGGATAGGGCAGTGGTCGGCAAACTGCGGCCCCTTGAGTGTGGCTCTTCCACAAAATACCACGTGCGGGCGTGCACGTACAGTGCGATTGAAACTTCGTGGCCACACTCAAGGGGCGAAAGAGCCGCATGTGACTCGCGAGCTGCAGTTTGCCGACCACTGGGCTGGGGGACAAGTATCTCAGCCTCTGTGCTCGGGGACAAGGTCACTGGAGCACGGATTCTCTACCTTATGCCAGGTGGACAAAGTCAGTTCAGGCGGAAGCACTGGGAGCTCATTTTGGTCTTGGTCCTAAGCCATATATGCCAATGTGCATTTGCCCATAATAAAGCTTATAAAGAAGATTATGAGTGTATGTTGATGAGATGTATATTCCAGACATCCAATAAATTAAAATAATGCTAAAGAATACTACCAAGTGCCCTAGCCGGTTTGGTTCAGTGGACAGACCGTCGGCCTACGGACTGAAGGGTCCCAGTCAAGGGTACCTTCCCGAGTTGCGGGTTCAATCCCCAGATTGGGGGTGTGCAGGAGGCAGCCAATCAATAACTCTCTCTCATCATTGATGTTTCTATCTCTCTCTCCCTCTCCCTTCCTCTCTGAAATCAATAAAACAATACATATTTTTTTTAAAAAAAAAAGAATACCACAAAGTAAAACACTCCTACAATTTGGAACTAAAACTCCATCCATACAATTGCAATTCTTTGATTTTCCCTTCTTGTTCCCATTCTTCTCCCACACACTTCCTATTGCAGAGGGGACCACCTCTAAACTTTGTTTATCATTCCCCTGAGTGCTTTCATAGTTATACTACATATGTATTCCTCATATTCAATAGTATTAAATTTTGTTTTGCTTATTTATATACCTTGTATATGAACAGTATATTCACATAGTTCCTTTTTTATTTGCATAAAATTATTTTGCTGCATATTATGTTGTCAGGGTTTACTCATGTTGATAGATGTATTGCTAGTATATTCATCTTAAATGATTATAACATTCCCATGGATTAATACATTACATATATATGGTGATGGATATTTAGGTGGTTTCTATATTTCACTATTATAGCCACACTTCTATGAATATTCTGTGACATGTTTCCATGTGTACTTATGTGAGAGTTTCTCTAAGGTACGCACCTCAAAGGAGAATCTATGCATGCCAAGATCAGTACATTACTGTTATTATGTATTTCTAAAGCTAATATTTAGATCTCTGATTCTTACCTTTTTCCTCACTGTTGCAGATCCCATAAGAGAGAGGATATGATTAATGCTTCCTTCTTTCTCTACCTAAGGTAATCTTTCTTCCTCCTCTTTCTGTCACATAAATGCTTAATCATTTTCCAAGACTCAGCTAAGCTCCTCTCTCCTAAGAAAGCTTCCCTGAACCCCACAGGTAGAGGATTCACTCCATCTTTCGCACTCTCATGCACAGCACTTCTATGTGGGACTTGTCAGTTACCAAACCCTGTAGAACTTACCTTGTGTGTATTTGCACAAATTTCACAAAGACTATGCTCTCTAGAAGAGAAATCAAAAAGCAGACCCCCAAAAAAACCATACTATAGAGGCATTATGTCCTTTAACTGATTCCTACTCACCCAAAACTCCAATAATTAGAAAGGCTACACAACAGTAGCATCCTTGGCATTACCCTTGATCCATCTTATTGATACTCTTTTATCCCAAACACTCGTGTTCTTTATAGAACTTTGAATGTGAAACCAATTTGATTAACTCTAACACCTACAAAAACACAGGTAACATGGTCCCTACCTTCACTCTCCTTGACATTTACTTGACCAGAGAAGGTACACACATGTATTATAATAAGAAAAATCCATATGTAGAATTATAAAATTGTGGGGCTTTAAAAGCTAAAATGACTTGGAGGTGATAACAAATCTCTTTGATAAATAAGAAATTGTCTTTGAGGTGACGCTTCACCTGAGTTAACACAGCCAATTAGTAAAGTCAGAGCTCTTGCTAACTCATTTTCTTTAATTCAGAAATATTTATAGAACACTCAACCATACCATATCTCTATGTATATGCTAATTAGAACAAATCCAAAGAATTTCATTTAATTAAAACCATTTTTTCAGAGATGTACTCCATTGAGTATTATCCTATCAGCTATATCATGGACTTTACAAAAGACATTTCACTGGAGTTTTTAAGAAAGTTCCATTTCATTTGGTGGCAGTTAAACAGGAAAATGATGGCACCTGAGTGTGTAACAGGATGTAAACTTGGAAGTTTCAACTGAGGCAGAAAGATAAAATAGATGAGAAACTCCAAGGTGGGAGGCTATACCACCTGAAAAACTTTGGAGGTTAATTCTGAGAGTCATATAGATCTGACACCAACAAGAATATAAAAAGAGATCAAAAGAATAAAAAATAGGAGAAATATTTTTATGAAAATCACTTATTGGATAAAAGCTATGCTATGATGCTGTCCCTTTCTTCACTCTCCACCATTTACCTTAAACTTAAAGAGAGGGTCTTCAGTAGGAGTCTTGAAGAGAAAGTTCTGTGTCCCCTTGATTTGGGGGAATGAAGAGGCCTGGTGAGTGATATATGCCGAAAGAATAAAGGCAAGAGGCTGGGTGAAATGGCATGCAGTAACAGAGCAGAGGGGAGGTTTCAGAAAATCACTGCACTCCTCTGTGTGTGAACTGCAATCTTCTGATATGGAACCTCATTGGAAAGATCAGCCATTTACACAGAGGTCCTGCCCTAACCGGTTTGGCTCAGTGGATAGAGCATCGGCCTGCGGACTGAAGGGTCCCAGGTTTGATTCCAGTCAAGGGCATGTACCTTGGTTGCGGGCACATCCCCAGTAGGAGGTGTGCAGGAGGCAGCTGATCTATGTTTCTCTCTCAACGATGTTTCTAACTCTCTATCCCTCTCCCTTCCTCTCTGTAAAAAATCAATAAAATATATATTTTTTAAAAATTACATAGAGGTCCTACCAAAAGGAGCTTCTGCCAGAGGGCAAGGGGATTCTTAGAAGGTATGTGGAGGAGACTGCTAGAAATATGCATTGAGTGTGGGTCAGGACCACAATGACCAAAAGTAAAGGCATTGACCATGATTGTGGCATCCTGCTTAGAGAAGTCCAGCAAGAGAGACATCAAAGCATCAATGGAGACGCCCACCAGAGAAAGGGTTAGCTGAACCTATCAGCCAGGCTAAGTAACTCAATTAACTTACATCTGACCAACTAACCATTGTCTCCCCTTTCTCCCTATTTCTCTTCCTTCATTCAACCCAGGATAGGCTGTCAATGTCAACTTAAGCTAAAGAGGAAAGATGAACAGCTGTTAGAGAAGGGGGGAAGGAGGAAGGAAGAGAGGGGGGGAGGAAGGGAGGGAGGGGAGGGAGGGAGAGAGAAGAGGGAGGGAGGAATAGGAAGGGCTAATCATACCTCATTCTCCCAAAAATAGTATGGCCTACTTGGACTGCCCCAACCTATGGCCCCAAAGATCATTTTCTTTCTGCTATAGTATGATGTCAGAAAATAATGCATACAGATGGTAAGATGAAATTTAAAAAAAAAAATGGTAGCACAAGTTGTATAGGTGTAATCTGAATAATAGGTCTCATATTGGTGTCAAATCCAAAAGAAAAACTTTATCTACCCCCCCCTCCCCGAAATGTCTTGGAAAGGACTTAAATGTTCAGTAAAGTCACTTAAAAAGGCACCAAAGAGAAATCACATTAATAAACACACAGAGAAATGTCTCATTTTCAATAAGTTTTTATTGATTTTTTAGAGAGAAACATCAATGTGAGAGACAACCATCGATTGGTTGCTTCCTGTATGACACCCTGACTGGGGACTGAGCCCATAACCTGGGCATGTGCCCTGACCAGGAATCAAACTGGCAATCTTTCTATAAGTGGGATGATGCTCAATCAACTGAGCCACTCTGACCAGGGCCACACAAATTTCTTTAAATCTCCATTTCTCTTTGAATCTCTTACATAATCAGCTGTCCTCGATATCTCATCTCTTCTCTCAAAAACATCTAAAACTCTCTTTCATAACGCAGGGAGTTTATTGACTTTTCTCTCTAAATTCCCTTGCTACCCTATCAGATCTATGTGGGGTTTTTTTTTTAAGAAGTTATTTATTCCTCATAATAATGATAAAGCAAACATTTCTCCCTTCTTGCATTCTGTCTACCCTGACGCTTATCACCATAGTCCACAGGCTGAAAAGGGTAAAAGAGGATGGGAGAGGGGGAAAGGCTGTGAATATTATATGTTACTATGTTTTATCACTCACATGAATTCATAGAATGGGAATCTCTATTTATACATAAGTAACAAAACAACTTCAAACACGAATAGCAATTATATTGGACCTCAAAGGGGAGGGTGAGTTTCGGGTGTTTATATTAGCACATCCACATTATGTCTATCCTCTTATTCCAAATGCTAAGAAGTTGAAAGTCAAATCTAAGTATTCTCAATCACAAAACATTTTCCCATATCTTTCAAAGGTATTTCCTGGGGAGAGCAGCCATCCCTAAGTGTAAGCTCTAGGAAATCTAGAATCAGTTGCTCTCTCTAATTGAGCGCTTTCTTTCCTTAGATTTTAGAAGAAGCATGAAAATGATTTACTGATTTAGGAACTGGGTGGAGTAGACCACAAAAGGACAAATCGAAAACATCTGGAATAAACTAGTTGAGAGAGTGAGAGAGCGAGAGAGAGCGAGCGAGAGAAAGAGAGAGAGAGAGAGAGCTTTCAAATGAAACAAAGTACAGATGATTTGGCTAAATTTAAGCCAAGCCAAACACTCACATTAAACATTGCACTTGGATCTGGTTCAATAGCAGGAGCCGGCAAGAGGGAGCGTCAGCCAACATTGCATCAGACACACATTGTGGATAGAGGAAATGAGTTTAGTCCAGCCAGCTGTGACTTCAAAGCGGCTGCTTTCTCAGAGAACAGTGGGAAAGGGTTCCCTCTTCAGTGAAGATTGCAAAGTTCAGCCAAAGACAGTCCAAAGGGAATGGACTTCAGGAGGAGGAAAATTACAGTCAACGCACCAGAAAGAGTATTTTCCTTCCATGAAGTGGCTGTGACAGTCAGAAAAGGAAGAAAGATGATGACAAAGAGAGGAAACAAGATTCTGATGCTCATTCAAGGACTGTAGTCCCAGGTGCATAATATGAAGTGGGGTGTTTGTGTGTGGATAATGTTGCTTTTCAGCTCAGACACCTCCTTACATGAATCAGGTTTCCAAATCCTTTGTATTTCTAGAAAAATATGCATTTCTTTCAAAGTATTTACTCAATACAAATTTACTGAGGAGTCAGGAATGGGTTAGACCCTCAGAATACAAAGACAAACCAAGAGTTCACAGTCTGATGGAGGGCCAAAGACATAAACAGAGGATTATGATATTGAGTAATAAGTCTTCTATTAGATCAGTGATGCCCTAAGTGTGATCACCTGCCCAGTATCAGCATCACCTGGGAACTTGTTAGAAATGCAACTTTGTGGGCCCCAACTCGAACCTACTGAATCAGAAAGCTGAGGATGGTTTAACAAGCTCACCACATGATTCCGTAACAAGCTAAAGCTGTAGAACTACCTTGATACCAAGCAAAACAACTTTGAGCAAAGACTCATCACACCCGACCCAACCGAGACATCCTCTGCCATCTACAAAACACTTCTCAGTCCCACTAGGTCAGTGGTTCTCAACTTTCTGGCCCTTTAAAATAGTTCCTCATGTTGTGACCCCAACCATAAAATTATTTTCATTGCTACTTCATAACTGTAATTTTGCTACGGTTATGAATCGTAATGTAAATATCTAATATGCAGGATGGTCTTAGGCGACCCCTGTGAAAGGGTCATTCGACCTCCAAAGGGGTCTCGACCCACAGGTTGAGAACCACTGCACTAGATTCTAAGTATGGTACTCTGGTGATTCACAAGAATTACACACAGATGTGTGTCTTGTCTCAGTAAATTGTAAGAACTGCCAGGGTAGGGGCCGATACCTCTTTCATATTTTCTCTGATTTCTCCTCCTTTCAGACATTAATCCAATAATTAGAAAATACAGGCATTGACATTACTTTAAGTAGCTAATTCAGAACTTAGACTGGTACAGGGGTTATACATTCATGAGGCGAACTTGGCCAATACATACTTAAAAATTTTCCTAACTCTTGTAGGTTGGAGGTGAATATAAATGTTATCTCTCCCAAACATTCATTGGATGCTAGAATCCTCTCTCTGATATTTTTGCCAGGAGTTTGTTCTTAAGCCTGAGCACCTCCATAGACCCCACTATCTCAGGAAGCAGTTTGCTTCCTTTCAGACAGCGCTACTAGAAAGAGCTAGCTTCTTTTGGGCTGAAATCTACCACAATTTAAATTCCATTTATTAGTTACAGTCCTATCCCTTGGGAACCCAGAGCAAGGATCCTTACATATTAATGTGACATTTTTCAAGTATTTGAAGTTAGTAATTATGCCGCATAAAACATGGGTTACACTCACGGACTCTGGAACCAAACTGTCTGCATTCAAATTCTTGTTCTGTCGCTTATGAGCTCTCTGGCCTTGGGAGAGTTATTTACTATATGCAGCTTTGTTTCTTTATAGCCATAAAAATATATGATGGCATGACACAAAGGGCTTTTGTAAAGAGCGCATGAATTAATATATGTAAATATGCCTGCAACACAGTAAGTGCTCTAAAAGTTTTAGCTATTATTAATCATCACCATTATCCTAAGAAGCTTGTCAGATTATCTGACAGAGGCCATCTTTCTCATTCTATAGTCATTCCCAACGTGAGCCTACTCACTCCTGTGTGGGTTCAACTGCCGTCTCTATGTTTGTGTAAAATCTACTCATTCTTCTGAGCACACAGCTAAATGTCAGAGGCCAATTGGGCTATATGAAATTTTCTGGCCATTATACTTTAGGTAGAAATGATGAACACCATGACTAGTCCTGGCCCCTAAAATCATCCTGCGAAATCTCCAAACTCTCTCAGTTCATCGGCTAGTTGGATGCACAGGAACCAATGAAGGGCTCCAAGAAGCCCCAGGGAGTGGTGAAGCCATGAGTTGGAAGAAGCTTAGGTCGCAGAGTCAACGCTTAGAGGGGAGCTGCCTCTAAGAGCCACCAGAATGGAACATCCACATTGGCCTTTGTGTGGCCAAGAGATAAACACTGATTGTGTTCAACCATTGAGATTCCACAGCCTACCATGACTAATACAATGACTCCCTAATTTATCCCTCTTGCTCAGACTTTGCTTCTGAGCTTCAGAACTATGCATTTCGCTTTCTACTCAGCCTTTCTACAGCGACCCTCCCATAAGGTAGTAAGTAAACTCAAGGCTTCTGGGACCAGACCTTCTGTGTTGAAATACCTGTCCTGGTAGGTGACCAGCTATAGAACCCTGAGTGGATTAGATAAGCTATTCATAACTATATACTTCAGAGTTGTTAGAAAATTAAATGAGTAGATGTATATAAAACACTAATAACAGTCCCTGGTGCATAGTAAATGCTCAATAAATGCCCAACAATGTAGTTATTGTGACCATCCCACCCCAAATTTGCTCTTTCCCCTGGCTTTTCTATATGAATAACTGCTAGTTTCCCCACCATCCAACAGCTATTAAAAACAGAAACTTGCAACTTAATCTTGAATCATGATTTTTCTCATCCTGTGTGGAACACATCACTACTACTGATTGATTATACTCCCTAAACACTTCTCGAATTCGTCCACTTTTCTCTATCTTTTATTGTATCCTCTTCATCCTAGTTAAAGCCACCGACATAAGTGCATCCTTACTCGCCTTTTCAAATCCATTCCTGTGCCCTTCAAATGCATTCATCACACAGAAATGCTAACGTTCTTTAAAAATTCAAATCTGATCTGGTCACTTCAAAATCTAAAATGTATTAAAACCTGTCATGGATTTTTGGAAGATGGAGGCATACTCTTTAAATGGTGCACTCTAGAAAACATGTTTGTTCTAGGGAAGGAACACTGTGGAGTGGGCTCAGCATAGTCCCTGAGTCTCAGTGCTGACGTGTAGTCTAGCTCTATACCTGCTAACTCTGTTTTTTGGTGCAATGCATGAATTTTTTCTCATCTGTAACATTTTTTTCTCATCTGGAGATGCTGGACCCCAAGTCATCAGATTATTTATGACAACCCTCGCTATTTCTGAGGCTCAGAGAAGTTCAAAATTTGTCCTGAGGTAACATCCCAGTAAACTGATAAAAGTTACATTTGCTCATATGTCTTGTGACTCTTGGTCTACATATCCTTCCATTAATTCTTTCAGAACTATCTTTTCCTGTAAAAAATAATAAAAAATAAGAGGATTGCCAAGAAAGGAACAAATTAAGCTAAAGCTAAGTGCTACCCAGTGCTCATACGTGTTTTGAGTTATCTTAATTGACACGTGTCAAATTTAAACTAATCGAAGACGTTGTCTGTCTTAGGTTTGTGGTCACATTTTCCAGAAGCATTGAAAAACAAAACAAAAAAATAAGTGGCCCTAATTCAACAATCCTAGCACTTTCTTCTGCCTTCAGTCAAAGAGGAATCAAAAATTGGCATTGGCAACAGCTTTGCATTAGTCCCGGAAGCGTGTGGGTTTTCTTGAGCTTCTTTGGATTTGTGACCAATGGTTCTGTCGCCTTCCCTGGTTCTAATAAAACTCAGTGATGGGTTTTGGATTACATTCATTCCAAGAGGGCTCCCTGTCAGTCCTCAAGTGGACTTTGTTGTCCACAGCCGCTTGCAATGAATGTGAGGGCAAAGGTCTCTGGTTACACCCACCACTGAAATCAGACTCATCTACACCACATGAGGAACATATTAGAGGGTGGAATCCAGCATTTGTCCCCACAGGACAAAGGAATAGCCTTGCAACTATTCCCTGTCTTTATTTTCAATGATTCCATGACCCATTCATTGCCTCTTACACTGGAGACAGCCAGGATTTCTCAGCAACACTGACCTGCACCAAAAAGAAAGGAGCATGCAGCAAAGGAGTCAAATCAAGTCTTGGGAATGTTTTCTCCAAAAGAGGTTGAACAAGTTTCAATACAAAGGCTTATAAACCCCTCCCAGTATATTTCCCTCTTTAATAGTTCCAGCCAAGCGCCTTATTATTATTCACCCCATGTTTGAATAATGGAACGCTTAGATCACTGTATTCATCAAGGGAAGGAAACACTGTGTATTCTAAAAAGCACTTTGAAGAGAGCTCTCTCCCTCTGCGATGCCATACTTCACTGGGTTCTCCTAATTGCTAAATGCACGGCTCTGGCTTGAAATGCAAGAATTTGAAGAATTGTATAACATGCCCTGCACCAGTGAAATCAGACCACATCTCATTCCAAGGCCTTCATTATCCAAGCAAACCAATCCGGTCCGAGATTACTGCAAACCGTATCAAGATTTTACACACACACACACATACACACACACACACACACATATATGCATACCAGATTACAGGAGCTCCCCCCCCTATCCACAGGGATATGCTTAAAGATCCCCCAATCAATGCCTGAAACCACAGAGAGGGGAAAATCCCTGTATATTTTGCATTTTTCATATATATATATATATATATATATA